AAAGAACACGGAAATTCGAAGAAGAACGGGGATAGAGGACATCATAGAGAAAATAACAAAGCTAAAAGGGAGATTTGCAGGACATGTAGCACGATTCAACGATGATAGATGGACCAAAAGACTATTATAATGGAGACCCCGTAAAAATAGAAGTCAGGGCAGACAACCGACGAGATGGGCCGACGATATGCGGATAGAACACAAGTAGGCAGGAGGCTTCTGTCCAGCAGTGGAGTGAGAAGAAGCTGGATTATGATAATGTTCCTACGTCAGGGTCATATTTTGCTAAAAACTTGGTTCTTATTTTCGTGAGACCATCCTTCCGATATTTCAAAACCCATATATTTTTTTTGAAGAGCTTTGGCCATCAATAGCAGAGAAGCCCATTTCATCATGTGCTTACGGCGCACATTATTTATAAATGAAATAAAAAAATGATTGTCTTACTCTGTTGTTGAACAATCGGAGGTAGGTGCCGTCAGCAGTACCTGTCAATGCGCTTTGCATGGCGTTCATATTGGTGCCAGGAAAGGCCGGAATTGAGTCAACAACTTGCAGCAGCACTACTTCCGCCAAGAGGACTGACATAGCCAGAACAGCATGTATCTGAAGTCGCATGCTGTTCGATATTGTACCATTACCTAATTCTTCAATGTAACGACTCATCCCATCCACAATGAGACTTAATGTGTGACGAACCGAATATCTGGTAACAAATATAAGTACGTTTTTATAAAATGTTCCAATTTCGATTAGAGGAATGGCGCATTGTTATTTATTAATGAATATTTAATTTATTTTAATATAAATTATATGCAAAATTGAATTTTCGGTTACCTGACAGCACCATCCTGAGTGACAGCAGCTCCACGCCGATCTGATGTTAAGCATCGAAGCAGACTAGGGTTCATGTTACTGCCCAGTACTCGGTGCATGCGCATAAAGCAGCCGTGTAGTCTTAATGCTAAGATATGTTCGCCTAAGTCTACAGTTACATTCGACTGACAAGAAGGCGAACTAGGAGGGTCTTGCGTCCTGGTCAATACTCTCATCTGTTCGGTCAACAACCGCTCTAGCCTGCAGAAAACAACATTTTATTTATTAATACAGGGTATCCAGAAAGTACAACGACAAACGAGGACCGCAAATTCTAGACATTTTTTAATCTCGAATTTACCTAAATTGTTTTGTACAAAAATGCTTCTTAACATTTTTATTGTACCATTCAAGCAAACCAGAGTAACTACTCAAAAGGTGTGCCGTCAATTTTCAATCACACTGTCTATAATTGAAGAGTGAGATGCAAGAAGGGGATATGAGGGACCTAGTACTGAAAGCGGTAATATCCACTTTTTGACGAAATTTAGTAAGATACAACAAATTCTTCGTTTTTTGCTCTTCGTACGAGAATGCCGAATGGGATAATAAATAGCGGCAGTATCGCTATAATAAAATAGCACGATACCTTTGGCTTAAACTCAAACACGCCATTTTCCATCAGTGGTTTAGAATCAAAGTCGGGAATCTCCGCTTCGACCAATTAGACGGCTCGTAGCGGCCATGTGATATAACATTCCGCTATGACTTTTTGAAGCTTCGTTACAACCACAGTGCAAAACCGAACACTGATTGCTATGGCTACTGTTTACAGTGCTGAAAGTTATTGTGATAATTGATAAAGTTGGAAAGTTTTACGTCTCCCGTTGAAAGCAATAAATTACGAAAAATAATTCGCAACCCTTCTACATGGAACTAAAACTTGTAGAGAACTATAAGGTAGGTTATACTATAGACGGTTTTAGTCTACGATTTAACTAGATTATCTGAATATTATCAACAAAAACCAATCAAATTGGGTCAAATTTTCTTTTTTCATATCAATAAAACATGTAAAGGATCTTGTATTGATGTCTAGATTAAAACTAAAAGTATTAACACAGTCACATATGAATTAAAACATTTCTTATCTGATCACTATCCAATTTTTTTTGAAGTTAATAAGTTGAAAACTGAAAGAAACTTTTCAAATACTAGAATAAATGAAAATAAATTAAATAAAATAGCTGGAACAATAGACTGGCGAGAGAAGTATTGGTACATGATCCTAACACAGCAACAGATAAATTAATAAATAGGAGGACACTTGCATTGACTCTGCCACACTTGTATATAAGAATGATCCATCTATGATTCTATGAATAAGAAATTTCTATATCATTTATGGCAAAAATATTGTACAAATGAAGAACTAAAAAAGCAATATAGACAATATAGCAAAATACCAGACAAGGTATTATTGGAAACTAAGATTATATATGACAACAAACAAATTGGAAATAATTTGAACAATCCCAGAAAACTCTGGAGAATTATTAATGAAAAAATTGAAAAAAAAAGAAATAATATCAATTACTTACATACAGGGTGGTTTTTTAGTGCGAGAGAGTCCATTATTTCCGTTGGTGTTGAACTTTCGAAAAATAGTTTCATATAAAAGTTGTTGACGCACAAAGTGCGCACATTTTTAAAATATCTTATATGATACAGAGTGTCCCAGAAAAGCAAGGCAAGATCAAATAGATCAAAAAGTGTATTTTTTAAAATAGAACTACTCATTTTTCATTGCTCACGGAATGCAGCTTGAAACGCTGCATATGCACAGTAAATTGTTTTTTTCTTACTTGCGACGTTGGCAGATTATCGCCATTTTAGTAAAATTTTAGTAAATTTATCCGCTGCCTATTCTGGCTTGATTCATTGAATTGAAGATAGCCCCAGCTCGATAGTGTCGGAGACTTTGTTGTTGCCTACGAAGGCTAGGTGGAGTGGCTCGTTATATTCGTTGAATTTTTCTGTTAGTGTTCTCACGGGTTGGATGTGTCCTACAGTACTGTATCCTTTGCGAAATCCACCTTGCTCGGGGGGTTGGTAGTGGTTAAATGTATTTATTAGTATATCAGTAAAGATTTTGGTTAATAGTTTAACAGAATGTGATAGTAAAGTTATAGATCGATTTTGAGAATGTCCCCTTTTTCGTATAATTGGACAACAACGGAGTTTTTCCAAATTTCCGGCACTTTGGCTTCGGAGAGACATTTATTTAGTAATATTTTTATTGAATCTATTGTGGTTACACCTCCTAGTTTTCATCTCTGTAGTGATTCCGCCCGCATTGGGGGTCCGTCCATTCTTAACTTGGAATAGGGCGTCTTCTATTTCGCACGTGGTGATATTCCGGAATTTCTTCTGATCCGACGTTCGTTATGCTGATGTTATCATAATGTCTGTTTTGTGGTTGTGAATTGTTGGAGTATAGTTTGCCTAGTTGAAATCTTGGACGATTTCCGTAATCTCGGTTTTCTCTTCTTCCAGATTGCAGCATGTGCTCGTCAGTTTATGTATCCTGGTTTTCCAATTTACGACATAATTCCGGAACATTTGAAGAACCAAGTTCATGAGCACATTGAGAGCTTTCCTACACAAATATTGCAAAACAGTGAGTTTCTTCAGGTGAACGTGTACCAAAGAAGGCCAAAATCGGTCTGTCGGCCAACAAGGTGATGGCCACAGGTTTTTGGGATACACGCGGTGTTCACATCGATTACCTTGAAAATGGTTAAACGATCATTGGCGCATATTGTTCAGATCTTTTGCACATATTCGATGCTGACTTGAAGCAAAAACAACCGCAAAAAAATTCGAGCTAAAAGGAGATTATGTTGAGAAATTAAACGCTTTTTGGCCGGAAAAAAATTATCATTCCCACCACATTATCATAAAAATCAGTAAATGTTACTTATCCCCTTCTTGCAACAGGGTCTTCAATTTTCGATTTCTGCTTCAATTGAAAAATAACAGGTGTCATAACAAGTGGAAAACATATTTTATAAACTAAAGTTGGGCAAAATCTTACCGTCTTGTCATTAGGGTTAACGTGGAAGGACTGATAGTTGTGTAGTTGAATACATTATGTGATCCTATGTTAGAAGTAGGTACTGGAGGCGGACGAGCTGACCCACTTCTACTTTGTCTATTACCGCGTTCTCCCCGAGATGGGGCATATCTGGCAAACCAATTAACTAATGACCGTCTAGGACTACTTCTGGGTAATCTGAAACAAAGATTACGATATTGCGAGACAGTACAATGGTGGAAGATAGGGCGTTTTCATGAGCAATGTTCTTCTGAAAGTTTGAACAAAGCATTATGCGAATTATAAAATTCACATGCTGGAAACTAAAACTCAAAACACACCTCACATATCTGGAAGGTGGATAAGTTTTTCTATTCATACTGCGACGCGAAGTTCCTGTACTAGTGCCTGCAGTAGGGCCTGGTTGATCAGTACTTGAGCTTGGACCTATAAACCATAACAAGTCAAAGATAAAAACAGATTATTATACGCGAAAGTCTGATTACCAGGTTGAGGATTTTCTACTTCGGGTTGTGGTCTGGTCTGGTTGCCCATATTTCCCCCATCTTCATTTGGAGATTCAGTTGGACTTGTATCACTAATTCTTGTACCTGCCATCATTTGCCGAACACTAGATACACCTGCGCTTCGACTTTCTACCGCTGAAGACCGAATATGTCTTACCATTTCTGCTACCAAGTTTCTCATAAGTTGTAGTTGACCTACTTCTACCATGGCWCGGTCGATTCTTTCAATGCTCTCCACCTAATAAAAACCATGTTCATTTAACAAAAATTACGCTWTAACGCAGGTGATTGTGTCGTTTGAGTCCCTCCRAATCTTTAGTTCTTTCTWGTTTTATATTAAAGAACACTTTAAATTAAGCCAAAATCCGTAAATTARGCCAAAAACACACAAAATTTKWAAAAAAATCACCATTTTTACGCTAAATTTAAATTAAGTTYATGGAAATTGTCTCCTTGGATACCTGCATGTAGATTTATTGAATTTGGATCGGATGAGATTATTTAGGTTATTTCAGGTAATAGATAACTTCATTCAATTGGAGTGGTACGTGGGTAGTGGAGTTTTGAGAGTGGTACGAAACGATGCTCAAACTTWTWTATKTTCWGCACTCATKWATMAAAMRATGCATCTTAGCGACAGTTTTGCATGTGGARTCATGAATTGYTRACACTTAAAACACGATTTARCWGCAAAKAACAASTRAATTYCAAAAGTAAGTRYWTTCGGCTTAATTYATGSMGCATTGAGGATTTTTTTGCGCTGAAAGTGCTTAATTTGAAGTGTTCTCTAAGGAAAAAAAGAAACATAAATRAKYGGTTTTAGAAAACCGTTAAATTTATTAAYTKACGTATAAATAAACGWCACTTGCWRGTGTCAWATACMTTATTGCCATTCATRTTKKAGGTTTTTGCAWACATKTGGCATKTWSTGTGAKTTTTKWRAGTATTTTTGCTKTACKMMTTAAATACCCTCTGAGAACACCTCCAGACTGTTGACCCCTATTTTGTAAATTTTTCAAAATAGGTGCGGATATTTGGCATATATGATTGACTTGAAGTAATAAAGCTTTTGATATATCGATTGCTGAGCTGTAAGATTTCGAATAAAAAATACTTATTATGACTTTTTATTTTGGCATGAACCACTGGGGTCAGCCCTTTAAAAATTATTTAGCTATAAAAATATATCGACAAGACTTATCAGGGTGACCTACAGATACAGAGTCCGTCTTTGGGAGCTTCCACTAGAAGTATTCGCCAAACCAAAACTACGAAAGTTCTGAGGATTTCAATACAAGGTTATGATGTCGGGGCTAAATCATCTAAAATATCTGCAAGTCGGTACCACTTCCGATTATACCGGAATAAAATGTATGTTATTCCACAACGGTTGAAATTTCGTACCCAGTTAACAAAATGATCTTAAAATCCGACAGATAATTTAAAAATGTAATAATATACAGGGCGTTCGATTTAACATAAGCGAGTAAGTACTTACTTCCGGTATAACTGGAAGTGGCAGTGGCGAGTATTTTAAATGATTTAGCCCCCACATAATTACTTTGTATTGACATTTTTAGAACACAGTTAATTTTGGTTTGGCAGATACTTTCAGTGTAAGCTCCCAAAGACGGACTCTGTATATTTGGGGAACCCAATAAAAAAGAAACCCAGTTCAGTTTACTAACATTGTAAAACGCAGATATAAGAAAATAATCACAAAATCAAATAACTTACCCTGCGCCTTAAAAGCCTGGATTGCGAATTTATGTAGGAGACAGTAAATTGTAATGAATTAAAAAGGGGCGGCACTCTGTCAATAGCACCGGTTCTATTTGGATTGCGAGGATATGTATGGTCTGTGGTTACTGCGTGCATATATCCAAACATATCCTGCATATTCCCTGGACTAGTGGTACCTTCAGTCTCCATATTGTTTGAGGCCTGAAAAAAGTTTTCAGCGCTGCTCATTGCGGTTCATTCAAATTTTCAACATTTTGCATTTGTGCCTATTTATTCAAATAAGTACAAATGCAACATGTAGCTGAGTTCTTAATTTTAAAAATAAGCTTCAGACCGAACTTTGAAGGTTAATTTACGGTAGGCTTATGAGCAGTGAACTAGGATAAGCTGATGATGATGGCTTTTGATTAATTAGATTTTCAAGTGTTATAACATTTTTTGCGATAAAAATATTTCTATACTATAAAGGGTACTGCGATATTCTTTGGATGACCTAATTTTTATTTAAAGAAATGTCTGGCTCCTCTGCCATTAATGGTCAGTTCTACAAAAAAACATCTTTTTTGAAATATCGGGAAAACGGTACGATGTATTTTGGTGTAACTCGCTGTTAATTTGTTTTTATGTAAGACTCATATTTTGATTTGATTTTGATGAAGCAATCGAGTTCAGCCGATTTGAACAAGTGGCGAAAACGGCTGAACTCGATTGTTTCAATAAAATATGAGTTACATAAGAACAAATTCACAGCAAGATTTACCAAAATACATCGTACCATTCTCCCGATATTTCAAAAAAGATATATTTTTTTAAGAACTTTGACCATCAGCATCCAATAGCAGAGGAGCCAAACATTTTTTGTCAATAAAAGTTAGGTCAGATGGTCTTATTTTGACGCAAAGAATATCGCAGTATCCCTTTGATCATGTGCTTACGGGACATCCTTTATAACCACAAAACAATTCACAAAATATAAACAATTAGAAAATAAGAATAAAAACCTGTTGACTGAGCAATCAGCTAACTAACCTGTTTCAAAAAAAATAAACAGGGTTACAATCTTTCTGCTTCATGAACGAGACACGAGTCGTTCATTCGCAGGTTTCAAAACAAGAAAGTTAATTTTGAGATACGTTCCAAAGAAAAAATTAATAGGCATAAAAAAGTCATAACAATTAAAAACATGTAAGGAGCCCATTGGATAATTATATATTGAGATATTGAATATAGAAAATGTGTTACTTCAGTTCGAAGATCTCGGACATAAAATCCCGGATCATTGAAATTCCAACGTGGTTCATTTTCTGTTGTAGATCTAGCGCTTTCGGTGGGCCCACTGGGTAAACGGTCAAAACTTCTCATATTCCTTAACATGTTTTCCGAATTGGCCATTATATTATCCATCCTAAATAAGACAATAATCATGAATAAAAATGCAAGAAATGATGCCACTTTCCAACCTCTGTGAAAAACTGCTCAGCATACCGGGTCGTGATCCCGATATATTATTAGCCCTGATATTTCTAACATCGTCAAGAGATGACTCAAGGTCTTGAACAATATTCGAAATCATAGGACCCAGCGCTTGAAGCTGCCCAAGACCATTCTGACCATCATCTGGCTGTTCAAAAGGTTGTTGCGCCGCAGTTGAAGCATCTTCTTCGCTTTGTTCCCGTTCAGCATAGTTTATCAATTCATCTAAAACTATCGTGGGACTTCGATTTGCTCTTGGAATACCTGAAACAAGTGAAATTATTCAATATAGACACTAAACATGCAATTGAGTATAATTTCTACATTTTTAAGAACTTGTTATGCCTGTCAACCATTGAGCATGATTATGATTTAATTGCACAAAATATAAACATTGTTAGCAGTGAGCAGAAATTTTATACGTATTAATGTGTGACACCTATCGCAAGAGAGCAGGAAAGACTGACATCCCCAAAGTTYTTGTTAACGCGCTCTACGTGGTTCCATGTCCATGCTTTCAGTATTCTGACGTGGTATTTCGATAATTAAAAACTCAAGATAAATACTACGAAAGTTGAGSGTATTAGCTTTAGTCGCGGTAACGATTCCGAACTGGTTCGGAACTGATCGCATGCGCTTACATTGGGTGTTCGCGGTAAAAAAACTACTAGTTCTGAACCCAAAGTTCTATRTTCGCGGTACAATAAGAACTGGTTCAGAACGTGTCTGTCTGAACGGGACTAGCTCCCGGCATTATCTTTTTTTGATTTGTTACGAAAGACTGGACACTTTTGTTTGCGGACAACTTTTTGTTGGCTGGGGTACAATGGGTGCCACCAGCATTGCATTCCTTTTCCTAATTCATATATGTCTTTATTAGTCTATTCACAGAGAAATAAAGTTAAAGGCTAAAGATGTCATTTGAAAAAAAAAAAAATGCGAACATATCGTGGGCTTAAAGCTAAAACCGATCAAGTCTAAAATATCAATTTTTGGTAAATGCACGCTAAAACCGAGCCAAAAAGTGAATCAGAATCCTTTTGGAAACTTGATCATTAAAGTGTAGTTTTTGATACAACTACTATGAGTGCACTTGTTTGAGTGGCTTTGGGGGACTTCGTCAGTTTTTGAAGACAAATATATTATTTTTTTAATTACTTGGGGGTAGGAGAATTCCGTCAAATAAAAGTAAATCTAATAAATAATTATGGCTTTTAAAGATTTACAGGTTTTAACATGGGCATTCGAGACAGAACAGAAGAATTTTCGGTATATCTGAAGAAAAACAAAATTGATATATGCTTTGTCTCAAACTCATCTCACCGAACAAAATCACATTAAAATAAATGGATACAACGTAGACGACACTATTCATTCGGATAATTAAGCCAACGGTGGCAGCGCTATATTCATAAAAAATTGAAAAAAATAGTTTAAAATATAATGAGGATCTCAGCATACAGTTGGATCAAATACAGCTAACCGTATTAATCGTTATCAACAAAACAACACTTTAAAGTAGGAACAGTCTACCTGCCCCTCGTCATAACCTCTAAAAATATTATATGTTCATCCTCAAGCACATGGGTGACAGATTCATCTTGGGTGGGGAATTCAAGGCAAAACACTCACCTTGGAGCTGCAGACTGGATAATACGAAAGGCAGAGAGCTCAAAATACCCATCCATAAGATTGGGTGTAACTTACATTCATCTAGTAAACCAACGTATTGGCCAACAGTCAGACATAAAACTCCTGATGTCTTAGATTTCTTTGTAACCAAAAAAATTGCATCCAATTTTATCAACATTGAAGACAACTATGACCTTGATTCAGATCATTCATCGGTAATCATAACCTCAGTGAAACTGTCTTAAAAAAAAACTTTAAAACCAACTGTGAGATAATAATAAATAAGACTACAGACTGGGAATGTTTTAAGATCCAAATAGCTCAATAAATTAATCTAGATATTGATCTTACCACAAAGGATCAGCTCGATAAAGCAGTGGCAAATTTTACTGAATTAATGCAACAAACGGTTTGGACCAACACCAAAACATCGTCACCATAGAACCCCCGGATTTAACTACCCGATGGAAGTGAGGAATCTGATAAAAAAATAAAAGGAAACAGACGAAATTGGGAAGCAGCCAGAGATCCTGCGATAAAAACCAAGTTAAATTCCAAATCTCAAAAAAATCTAAAGTGATCCAGCAGCTAAAAGAAAATTCGGCAAACTCGTTCTTGGAAAATCTAACAGCGGATAAAAGTACAAACTACTCCCTGTGGAAAACTACGAAAAAACTGAGAATGAAAATCACTCATGTACCACCAATCCGGAAATAAAACGACGAATATGCCAAAACTGATGAGGAAAAAGCTGATAATTTCGCTACTCATCTACAAAATATCTTCACTCCGAAGGAAGCGGCAATGGGGTCAAATGAGTGCCTCCACAAATAGAAAATAATTGGCATAAAACAATCAAAAAAGTTACCTTAAAATAGCTCAAACGAGAGGTGAAATACAACCTCAACCCGAAAAAAGGATACGATCTCATCCCTGGACTAGTGTTAAAGAAGTTACCTACGAAAGGACTAAAAATGTTACGTCAACGCAACATTTACACTGATGCATGTCTCAGCTTATTGGAAAAACGCAGACGATTTTAAAGCCTGAAAAAAAGCTACAGAAATAAAACATTACAAATCGATTTCCTTGCTGCCCGTCATGTCATAATTATTTGAAAAAATATTCCTCAAACGATAGAAATCAATTATTCAAGAAAATAGTCTACTACCGATTGGTGAMACTGGTSAGTTTGGATTTAGGCAGACACTCAACAAGAGAACAAGTTCATCGTCTGATCGACATAATAGAAAAAGCTGTGGAAGGAGAAGAGGTGTGTTCAGTGATYTTTCTGGAAGTATCGCAAGCATTCGATAAAGWCTGGCATGAAGGTTTACTCTACAAACTTAACAAATTATTGCCAGTAGGCAATTCATCAACTTGTTAAAATCTTACATAACAGACAGAATGTTCCGCGTGAATCACGAATCAGTATTCAGACTTCAAAGATATTCGAGCTGGAGTACCCCAGGGAAGCGTAATGGGCCCAATCCTATATCTTCTGTGCACTAGTGACCTACCGCAAATAACACACGTAGTAACGGCAAGATTCGCGGGTGACACGGCTAACGCAGCCACGGCTAAAACTGATGAAGAATTTACGTTGTTCCTACAAAGTTAGACGAAGAGATGGCGTAAAAAAATCGAATCGAAAAAGGTTAACAATAAATGGAAATATACTCTCTTACGAAAACACAGCAAAATATCTGGCCATAAACCGTGACTCTAAAGCTAAATGGGTCGAGCACACCACAATCAAACTTGCAGAACTGCAAATCCGCTTCAGACAGCTCTACTGGAACTCAAATACGGCAATTTTGAACTTGGTCACTTTTAGCTTTAAACCCAGCATGTTGGCAATTCCAACCTACCTTTTACGTGGCCCTACCTTTTAATGGCTTTCTGATCAAAATTAGTTAATTAATTGAACTATAAACATAAACAAACTCTTTCTTATTCGAATTAATAAAAAACTGCCACTTTTCGCACAGAAACCATGACCATGAAGAAACACATCAAATCCGTTTGTCTAACTCCTCMCAAATTTCACCCGCGACATGCCAAAGTCGAAACTSAAGCTGAKACTTTTGTCAGAGAAAAGCCAAGAAAAWCATATTTTTAAATGCATAATAATTTGTAACTCACTATTAAGTTTTTTGATGTTTATATCGCATTTAATTAACTAATTTTGATTAGAACGCCAATGTAAAAATAAACCTAGAGTTGTCTACGTATGATCGCAATTTTTCGCCTCAGGGTGAATGGAAACAAAGCCATAAATTTGAATTAAGAAACGGGATACAGACAAAAGGAGTATACGACGGTCGTCGGTGGTACCCAATTGTATCACCAACGGTCATGTAACTAGCAGGGATTGTAGCCCCTGGGCCCCACAAAAATTGCCACTTTTCGCAAAGAAACCAGGGTAAAAAAACACCGCAAATCCGCTTGTCCACTTTCACTCCATTGCATTTCAGTTTAGGAAAATTAGTGTTAGGCACAAAGTAACTAAATCCTGTTGGTACTACTAAAAACGCTCGCGGAACGAAGGATCGGTTCTGAAGCTGCGCCCTAACTCGGTTCGTTATCAGTTCCGAACCGATCCTGATTGGCTACCGCGAATAAAGCTATTATCTTTATCTATTACCAAGTTATTTCACCACTAATCGTGCAAATCATTTCAATAAATAAAGTGTCCGAGGTAAAATACCTGGGATTTAAGCTAGCCAAACAACTTTATTTAAAAAATCTTGTGAGTTTTGCTATCCAAAAGACCCGCAAGACCGTAATATTGTTAAATTCCCTTGTGGCTCCAAATTCATTTCAACCAAAGAAGATTCACCTCAAATCACCCATGTAGGTCTGCTAGACATATGTGGATAATAAGGACGTGGAAAATAGTAGGTTCTAGATGGACTAGAAAACTAAAATTAAACAATATCTGACTGACTGAAACTCGCATTTCGGTCTGGTGGGTGCGAACTGGGAAGCCGAGTTAGTATAGATCGCGGCGGGGAGCAGCTAGTAAGCTGAAACAGTTCAATCGCCAGTGGCATAAAAA